AGATCAAATGTTCGATACATTTTTTGGGACACCCTGTATTTTTTCTGACTCAGAAAATAGATTCCCAAGAGCTAAGGCAGGGGTGTTTCATGGTCATAAATTGGGATTTTGTGAGAACAACTACATACCTGAGAGAGTAGAATTGCTGCGGGCGGAGTTTGCCATTTCACGCTCAAATTTTCCCTGATTTATGGCCATAGGATCGTAGATTTTGGCGGTGAATATCCGATTTTTGGAGCTTCTAGTGAAAAATCGAATGTATCACTCTCCAGACTATGTTTTGTTATCAGCAGCCTTGACGACTTCAAAAAATAAATTACGCGTTTTTCAAACCGAAATATCATGAGACAGCTTTGTGTAATGATTCATATATATTGTCTCAAAGAGCAGTGAACCACAAAGAACGAAGAAAAGCGAATGTTACAAAGACGGAGAAGAACAAATGCAAGCTTCAAAGTGAGCTGTGGAGCCTGAGAACTTTTTTAAAGGTAAATTTTTTTACTTGTCTTTCAAAAGAATTTTGGCAAATAAGGTCGCTTTTTGTGCGAGATCGAGGCAAATTAACTATTTAGTCTTGAATCGCTTTAACGGCAAATCTTGCGAAGATTTTGATGATAAAATTCACTTCAACAGGTTTATAAGCTCAACTGTTCTTATAATATTTTCGAGGTATACACTTTCGAGATGACTTGTTAGTTTGCAATTGACCATTTTTCTGAAGTGCAATTTGGCAATTCATGACCCTTAACATTTATTGAAGGCAACTATCTCGAGCAATGTCAATGGCAAATAATTCCGTGTATCAATCAGATCACCCCTCCTTTGATGGTAATGTTTTCTGCGCTGACATCGTCCTTGTACTCAGCTTTCCTGAAAGTTATTCTGCAATGAACTGCTCTCAGATCAATCAGAGTCCTCACCTTTGAGAATGGAAGCAAGCGGCTTGGAGATCAAAGACGCAGCTGTTCTTTTCCTTCTTGCATCATTAATGGATTCTTTCTGGCTTTTTTTCTTCAGATTTACGCTTTTTGCAACTGGAGTTGAATGTGCAGGTTGTGCATCAGCTGCAGGTTTCGTAGGTGTTGCCTGTTTCTTCTGTGGTACAGTGGCTTGTGGTTTGTCTTTGCCGAAGAACTCCTCCAGTTTTTTGAAGTCCGCATTCAACATCTTCTTTGACTTTTCCTAAATTCTACTCATCACGAACAGCGCCAAAACTTATGCGGCTCAGAGCCCTTGGCTTACGAATAGATCAAAATCGGTCAAGATGGAATCCGGTATAGCCGCCGGCTGTTCTTCTTCTGTGCTAACTTTTCCTTCTGCATCTTTCTTGAGGAATGAATAGTTTGCTGCTTCCTGAACTTTTCGACAACGTATACAGTCTTTCTCACGTAATGTTGCGCA